CCTGGGGCCCCCACGTGGCCCTTTTCAAAGACTCAGTTTTGGTCGCCGAAAGCTTGGCTGGAATTAGGACCCCAGCAAAAAAATACAATTTGTTGCCTGGTGAGCGGAAAACACAGGCGGCGCCAAAAAAGCAAAACAAATAAAAAGGTGGAACTCATTCTGGCAAAGAAAACGACCAACCCCCACCTGGCCCTTTTCAAAAAAAATAAACGGTTTTGGTCGCCAAAAACAATCGCGAGATCCGAGTCGTCGGCCATGTACTCGAGGATCTTAAAGATCTGCTGGGTGGCCTAAGTCGCCACTTCCGAGTTGCGATGAAGTTCGGCGGCCGCAGGAACGTGGAGAAAAATCACCAGCGAGCCAGGAAGAAGTCGACAGGAGCCACCCCCCGGTGTTTCTTCTCTTTTTTTTGTGTGTGTGTTTCCGTGTGTGTGTGTGTGTCTGTGTGTCTGTGTGTCTGTGTGTCTGCGTGTCTGTGTGTCTGTGTGTCTGTGTGTCTGTGTGTCTGTGTGTCTGTGTGTCTGTGTGTCTGTGTGTCTGTGTGTCTGTGTGTCTGTGTGTGTGTGTCTGTGTGTCTGTGTGTCTGTGTGTCTGTGTGTCTGTGTGTCTGTGTGTCTGTGTGTCTGTGTGTCTGTGTGTCTGTGTGTCTGTGTGTCTGTGTGTCTGTGTGTCTGTGTGTCTGTGTGTCTGTCTGTCTGTGTGTCTGTCTGTCTGTCTGTCTGTCTGTCTGTCTGTCTGTCTGTCTGTCTGTCTGTCTGTCTGTCTGTGTGTGTGTGTGTGTGTGTGTGTGTGTGTGTGTGTGTGTGTGTGTGTGTGTGTGTGTGTGTGTGTGTGTGTGTGTGTGTGTGTGTGTGTGTGTGTGTGTGTGTGTGTGTGTGTGTGTGTGTGTGTGTGTGTCTGTCGCTGTCGCTGTCGCTGTCGCTGTCACTGTCGCTGTGGCTGTGGCTGTGGCTGTGGCTGTGTTTGTGTGTTCATGCCAACTTCCTGTGGTTGCTGTTGAGAAACCAGCGGCTTTTTCAGGTGGGGGATTGGAGGTCTGGCCTATGGCGCCAAAAAAACAAAACGCTAATTACTGCAAACCACCCCAACCTGCGCACCCCCAATTGCGTGCGACCAAAACATGTCACGTTTTAACTTCACTTGTGCGAATACAGAAGCGGTGACTGGCAGGCGGGGACAGATTCCTGGCAAGTCATCCCGCCCCGCTTTCTTTCGAAAACAACAGGCCGGAAGATTGAAGGCTCAACTGTAAAATTGAAGATTGCATGTTTCTCACAATCATTTTAGATCATTTCGTCGGGCAAACATTGCCAGGTTTTGAAAAGGGCTCACGTTTGAAGGGTTCAAACAAACGGATAATCAGATCGCTTGCAAAGGTCAATCAAGCATCCAATCGACCCCAGAGAACACATTCAACGGGTCACCCAAACCAGTCCCTGCCTCTCACTCCGCGCTGAGATACCAACTTCTCGCTGCTGCCAGTCATAAATGAACTTTGTGCGCTGGCCTTTCCTGGCATTTCGACCCTGATCGATTCATCTGGCGGATTGATGGAAGGGTGTTGGAGCAATCAATGTGCAGGTCATGCCCCACAAAACCGCCCCATTTTGGTCCTAAGTTGAATGGGGCCCTTTCTTGTAGAGCAACCAACCCGATGAGACCTTCGACCTTCAGTATTTTGGAGTGAGTCAAACTCGTCGGCACCACTCCAAGTAGTACCTACGCGTCCAAATGCGTCCAAACCAACCCCCAGGACTTGCCAAGTGGTTTGCCTCGAGTATTTTCAGGAGGTCGCCTCGGGTGCAAAGCCCCCAGTGCCACACTTCCAGGCCTTGACACTTCACGGTATCTCCCTGCTGATTTCAGCACTGAGGCAAACGTCACATCTCTCAAGCCCCTTCTCGCAAAACACACGCAAATCCATCAGCCCTCGTTTGAAGCCAACTCTTTCCGACTTTGCTTCCCCAAGCCTAGCTACAGGTTTGACAGGGAAGGTGCCCAACGTCATTCGAAGCGTTCGTTGAGTCTAACGATAGCTGTCCCTTGGGGCCCCGCGTGGAAGTTCAACCCTTGTGTCCATCGCCAGGATTCTGTTTACGGCAAAATGGTGGACCCGCAAAAACGGGTCTTCTTTGGGCTTATCTGCGTAACAAATCCGCAGTAAAAAGTGTACCTGTATACCCTCAACCTAGCCTGAAAAATGGGATGTCACCCCATAACTTTGAGGCTCCGACCAATCTTTTAGGCAATTTTCAGGTGCAGGTACCCTTAAAACACGCACACACACACACACACACAAACACTTCATGGAAATTCTGACAAAAGAAATCAGGATCCCCGAGTTTCGGAGAAAAGACGGGACCCTCTTGGACGTGGATAGGAGGGTCGAAGGACCCCCCATCCCCTTAAAAAGCCACCAAGCGTTCGATGGAAATGTAATGTTGACCCCGGAATAATGAAACCCTGTGTATCAATATAATCTGGGGTCAACATTGCCCTTGAGGGGTATCCCTTCAAGAAAGGTGCGTTCCTTCAAGACCTCTGCATAAGTAAACCGAGCCCACCTTGGGAAATCCACGTAAAATGACACCAGCAGGCGATGCCCTTATGGGAAAATATTGCGAACCATGCGAACAGAATCAAGAAAAGGTAGTCCGCACCAAAAAAAGACCAGACATCGATCCGATTTCATCGATCCGATTTCAGCCGGGATGGGGCACTTCCGGCCCACCGCGAAGAGGTTGACGCTGCAGAGCAGCGTTACGATGATCAGCAGATCCCCGAAGCTGTGCTCCTGGGAAATCGTGCAAAAAGCATTTCAGATGCGAGGCCTGGACCTGTTTAGCCATGTTTAAAGAGTCTCATGTTGGTTTCCCTTTATCAAGGGAACCAGGATGTGGTGGTTGAAGCACGATCGCTTCAGCATGAAGTCGACCCCTGTAGCCCACGTTTAGAGGGCGTTGGAGGGTATAGATGGGATCCAATGGCCAATTACTTCCAAACTGAAAGGGCCTTTTGGTTCAACCAATACCTGTAGTAAGGTGCCATTGGATAGCTTGAATCGAAACTGAACGGATACCACCATTGTTCGCTTCCCCTACTTTGACACACGCACACACAAACACACACCTATCCGGCAATGACTCTAACTGGAAAGGAATTAGGGACCTTCATGGGTGGAAGACTTGTCCGAGTCCAGGGGAAAATGAATGAGACATGGCGTTATGCACCCTCAAACTACCCATAACAAAAAAGGGAACATCGCCACATAATTTTGAGCAATTTTCCAATTTTTATGGTGCAGTTTTGTTGGCGCCCAGGTTCAGGGGTGCAGCACCTCTTGCGGACGCTCCATCCTTCGAGTTGCCGGAGAACACGAGACTCTTTTGTTTGCACTCGCGAAAGCTGACAACAGGGTGTTGGAAGACTTCTTCCCCCAAAAAGCCCCAAAACGTCCACTTGCATTGTTGGAATGAGGGGAAATATTCACATCATGCGCAACGCACTATTGGATTCTAATTACTACAGAATCCCACGGGTTTCATGTTACGGACGTCAGACGATTGAACGCGGCGTTCTGGTTGAAATGGTAGGACCCCCCGCCAATGTCCCCGCAAAAAAAAACACAGCCGTAGGCAACAGGAAATCTTGATGGAACCGCACATCAAACCGGGTATTGAGGAAATCTACCCGAACTCATGATGTAGGCGTGTCTCTTTTTTGGCTTTTGACTGAACCCAGAAGGAGAGTGCAGATCTCGGAGTCTCGGACGCAAGTACAACTGTTTTCCCTTCAGAGGGTACACCAAGATCCTAAAAATAGCAGCAATTTATTGAACAAACTTTACCTGAGGTTGGCGTGTCCAACAACTCACAAAAGACCAACAACTCACAAAACAAATGGCAGCCAAGTCTGGTAAAAAGAAACCTTTGGAATCTGTCTCGGCTTTTTTTTGTGCTGGTGCCCCCTGGGGGTTGCCCTAAGGTTTCACAATCCCTCATGTGTGTTCCTCCTCTGGTTAAATAGGGGGTCTGGACAAACTTTTAAAGGATACACATCCCCTTTTGGTTTTCTGGGAAATGAAAAGCACATGGTCTAGGTCCTCCAGTAGAGAGGTTTGAATAAGGGTACCCTTTCTCTGTAGTCTATTTTAGTAAGGGAACCCTCCTCCAAAAAAGGGAACGGAAAGAGGGCACTACTGGGGGACCTCGTAAAATTTCTAGTTTCTCCCCCGCCCCCAACCCCCAACTCGTGCGCTTCGATGCGGGACTCGACTCACATCCCCGCCTCTTGCAGCTCGGGACTCAACTGCCGCTCCACACAGGCCAGGCCTCCGACGCAGTCGCTGAAAAAATATTCTGCGGATGGTTGCGACATCCGCTTCTCGCACCACGAAATGAAGCCACGGTTGAAACCATGTGTGGGTTTTCTTTGTTCCCGGTATTTGCAGGAGACTCATGAGAAATCAGGGTTTCTTAGGTAGGTGGTGAGGGATTTCGTCCATCCACAGTATCACCTACATGGATTGTGTGGGATGAGCGCGAGCACGTGAAATCACCCTCGCGGCGCACCAAAGTAGGCAGCGATCCAGAGCCAGGTCAAGCGCATGAGCCTGGCAAGCACCGCTTGCAGGCGCAAAGCAACCGAGTGGCACCCAGGAAATGGCCTGAGAACCTTCGTAGGGCTTTCAGGACTTTTGTGAGAGCAGAGGGGGCCGATTTTGTCGCTGAGCATGTAAAAACAGGCCAAGCAGAGTCAAGGATATTTTGCAAGGGACTGAGCCAGCAAGCAACCGGATACAGCCCCACTGCGACACACTTTTTCTCACCCTTCCCGAAAATGTTGGCTGAATCACAGTTGGCAGGCAGTGACTCAGTGACAGCGTCATGCTGCCACCAACTACAGCTTCAATGCGGGCTTGGACGGCCATTTTTTCCGCCGGGCACCTTCTAGCGGCTTCTATATGTGGAAAGGAGAGCAAGAGCATCGATCGACACAGATCTTCAGGCGCTGGACCGTTGTCTTCTTGCTCTTCACACGCGGGACCAGCTTGGAGCTGAAATCCGGAAGCAGCCGAGGCGTGCCGACCGCCGGCTCTTGATGTCGAAGTGCCTCAGAGCCGCCCAAGAATGGGCGGTGTTCGTTTGATTTCCCTGGAAACCACCCAAAATCGGCACCCTCAAAGAAACATAAACCCACACTTACTGCGATTGCGAGAAACTCTCGTAATTACCGATGATGACCATTCTCGTCGTAACAAAGAAATCGTATCAGCGACAAGGAAAGGTTGCCATCGCACCGAAGTTCGCAGATCTCTTATGATGGTACAGTACTCTTCCAAAGAAAAAGGTTCTATGTGTATCTGTAAGCACGTTTGCTGGAATGACCGCAGCTAAAGAAAGCCTAAAAAGCGAACGCACGAAAAATAGGGTGGCCGATGATGCAAAACTCCCACGTAGGCATATGTCCAGGAAGCAGCGAATCCCCAAATGGGATCCCCTTGGCTTAAGTCTACCTGGCATGCTCCATCCATCATGAATATAAAAAGGAAGGCTTTGGAAGACTGTTGTCTGTTTCCATTGCAATTGCAATACAAAGGGCGACCTGAACAAAACCTTTACCTTGGGGTTCTGCCAGATTCAGGGAACCTGGCAAGATGCACATAGTATCAACACAAATTCACTAGATTCCTCCTCAAAAGATTCAACTTCCCGGTAGTCCCCATTGAAACTGCCACTTCCGAAGGTTCCAAACAGGGAAATGGCTCGGAAAGCCTGACTTAAATCCCAGCTGAAGAGCAAGCTTGGACCCGCTCGATGTGCGGAGGTGTCCTTCTCGTGCTTTCTCATGCCTCAGTCAGCCCCCAACTTTCGCATTGCGGGTGTCTCCCATATGGAGCCCCCCAAAAAAGGGCTTCAGGCTTTGGTTTCCCTGAAAAAAGACACCCAACAAAGTGGCGACTCTGCAATTGGTTTGCGAACAGAACAATTTAAATGAAAACCACATGTTCCTCTAATGGAAAGTGGAAAATATCCTGCGACCAGCGTGGTCGATCCCTCTGACTACTTCACTCGGCAAAGAGGCAAACGGAGCTTCACCCCGGCCCCAGGCTGGATAATAAAAACCCTCTCCCCTGTCAGACCTGGATCGACCCTCTGGCCGCAGGTTCCAGTATCCTCCATTCTCCTTTAATCGAGCCCATCCTGAGGATGGGGGTCTCATTCCTTTTCTGCTAAATACGACAGTCAGGTTGGAAACATATCCGAACAAAGGCAAGCTGTGCACTCTGGGGTCAAGGTTCAACAAACACCTGGTTCAGGGTCCGTTGTGGTGACATCCTCAAAGGAGTCCTCTAAATGTTGGTTTAAAGGGAAACAGCCGGGACCCAACAGCAAATTTGTCGAACTATCCAGTAGTCTATAGTCCATGCAAGAGAGACGTGGAGCAACTCGCTAAGCTTCCCACAACAAAACAGAGGGCTCCCTAACTTGCCCAAGTCCTCTCCGGAGATTTTTTAAAATTTTGACTGTCCAAATAAAACCCAAAAAGGGGTTCCGGTGTCCCAAAACCGGTGGTTGGGGATTTCCATGCTTAGCTGGCATTAGCTGGCAAGGGATTTTCTGGTTCTCAAGGTAGATTCGAACCTGAATGAACCATCCCGATTGGTTTCAGAGCAGCTGCCATTTGTCCTTGTTTTTGTAGCGGGAAACCAAAAGGAACGTACCATTTTGGGAGTCCGATTCCTAAATGAAGACACACCATACTATTGATTCCCCTGAGAACCAGGAATATGTGTTGTTTGTTCCAAGAGGTTTTGAACCAACTCCTTAGAAGGAACCCACCATTTCGGGGGTCCAATTCCTAAAGAAAGACACCCCCCAATTGATTCCCTGACCTGATGCTGATGATGCGGGAAGCCACATCCAAAAACAAATGAAAGGCTGCAAAAGCCAAAAAGCCCGGACAGGAACTGGGAAAGCAGAGGATGCAAAAAGCTAAAGCCGCCAAAAGCACCATAAACCAGCGAAAAGCCGCAAAAGCCAACCACCCCGGCCTCCACCACCATCAGCACGAAGCTCGCTCCGGCCTCCGCGTCGCAGCCGTGCCTCGCCCAACGCTCCGCGAGGCGCCAGGCGTCATCCGCCAGCGAGGGCGTGTGCCAGCGCCTCGAGAGGGGGGGGAGGTACCTGAACAAAAGGGGATTCGGGGTCCTTTCAATCATCCATAGGTGTTCAGTCTACCTGGGGAAATCCTTACATGCGTGTGTGCGTGTGTGAAGGGTACCGAAATCCTCCGAAATTCACTTAAAACGGGGTGCAGCCCCAGAATTGTGGGGTGAAATCCAATTTAAAGGTATTTAAAGGTAGTTTGAGGGTCCAGGAATACTGAAGTGTCATTGACATGGGACTAACGACCTGCTTTTGTCTTTTGGGCAAGCATGTTAAGCTCAAGAGTGCATAGATGGCACACTCCCTTAGGGCAGGTGAGGGGACGAAAGCAAAATGGGGGGGAGTTGTGCCGTCTTTCACCAACCTGGAGGGTATCCGAAGCAGCGCTCAAGGGCAGATGAACGCTAAATACATGGTGTATTTGATCAGGGTTGGGCAACATCATTGAAACAAAACAGACCCTAGCCCCCATTTAAAGGGAAACTACTGGAGGCTGTTCAAACAATGGGTTAAGCTATGCGTTGAATCGCCCAACCCCGTATTCACTATTCCCAAACCAGCACCCTAGTTGCCCTGGGAAGGGGTCTAACCCCTAGTTGGGTATATACGAGGGTGAACAACCGCTACAAATTGACACTTGTGCAAATGGTACAATATACGTATATATATATATACACACACTCCTTTGTCCTTTTTTACGCTTTTGTCGCAAACCCTAGATCGTACCAGGTTTGGACTTGAGCCAAAGCAAGCATGGACACGAAAGCTGGTTCCTTCCCGATCATGAACGGGGTGTCAAATAGTCCGGGTCTGGACAAGACTACACAAGTTGGCCGTAAAATCCCCCTGTGGAAGACTACCATGCTTGGGATAAGGATCTGTGCAAAGCCGGTCGTCTCTGGGACTCAAACCCTTTTAGCTTCCTTGTGTCACTAAGACTCATAAGCTGTGTTTTCTTGAACCAGGCAAAGATTTAGCGAGGCGCTGAAATTCTGTGCTTGAACTGCTCTGCGCCCGAACCTCTCGCTTTCTGAGTGGATGGGCAAAAAATGCAAACCAACTCCCACGTGGTTGGAGGACGCACGCGAAGACCTTTTCTAGAGAAGGGGGGGAGAGAGGGGGGATTATCATTATTTACGGAAAGGAAGCGAAGAGGGGGGAACATTGTCATTATAGACCTGGTTGTTTACCACCAACTGTTGGTCTTGCCGAAAAGATTGTTCAAGTGCATGAACGCAACAAGTGAGACAAACCAACAGACGAACCCCCTGCTTCAAGGAAAAAAGGACCCCAGGTCAAACCAACAAGGGACACCTACCGTGGATGGGCGAAATCCACTTCGCACCACTTTGAGACCATGGGAAACCATGTTTGTTTGGTATTTACCTGGGCATTCTCAGAAACCAGGGTTCCTAGGTGGTGCGAACTGGATTTCGCAAGCATCCACGCTACTAAGATGTACCAAGCTGAGTCTCTTGGGCGCTCTCCAACACTCTGGCCGCAAAACAATTCTCGGGCCGCGGCAAGCCATGCAGAGTCAGCTGTGTCTTGAGGACCTCCTTGGCTTAGGTTTCCCGAGGCTATTGGTTTGGAGCCTTGGAGCTGAATCGGTGGCTTGGAACTGTGGGAAATCCCATGCAAACCCTCTACAAGAACCAGGGGTTCGGTTCCAATCCAACTCCAAACCACCAATCCAAGCCACCAATCCAAACCACCGATTCTTGGTTGACATTGGAAGCGGAGCAAAAACATAATGTTAGCAGTTAAGTCCCACTAAATCGCAATCAGCAAAAATGCAAAATGTTTGCCAACACCAACCATGAAATGCGGGCTATCCGAGAAAAAAGAGACCATGGTAGATACCCAGGTGCATCCCCAACCGCCCCTCAACCCTCTACCCTGACAGCTCCGAGAACTTATTACTCCAAAGCTTCCAGCTGAACAAATACTTGGAACATCTTGGAACCCGCTTGGGGCTGACTGCTGGGGAAGCCTTCGCTCAAAATTCCTTGAAAACCCAAAAAATATTGCCCGCAAAAGGAAAAAAACAGCAAACCTCTCAAAGTAAGCACGGCTTTCCACCATGTTTTGTTGCGTTTATGTTTTCCCGCCTGAAAGGCGTGGGATTTATCAAAAGTACGCTTCTTGTTGGGGAAGCCTGAATGCTGTGTTAGGCATGTTAGGCTCAGGCTTGCACGCTTCAGAGGGAAAACACAAAAATCAGCATGGAACTGAATGTTTAAACCAAGATATCTAAACATACTGTACAACGAGAGTCTTCAAATATAAGACATACGGTCAACAGTACCACAGCTTGTGGTCGAATGAGAAACTCAACAGCTACTTCTGTGTGTTGGTGTTAATTCAAGGGGATCCCACCCTCGGTAGAGAGAACCCCAGTGATGATCCTCCGGACATTCAAGGAAACAAAAACACCACCCCAAAATCAAACACAAATAATATATTTCAGGCGTACCCAAGCCAAACTATTCAACTCACAATGGAAATAGGGATTCCCCAGTCTCTCGTACAACCCGAGTCGTACCCGTTGACTGCGGCAGGTGGCTGCACGGATGAGCTCGACATAAACGAGGCAAAGGAAGGGTCTGGATTTCATGCAAATGCACGCAGGCACTGTCTATGTATGCTGTACGCATACTTCTGAAGGCCCAAAAAGGGGTTTAGCTTCTCTGAAAATTGGGAATCGCACTTTGATGTATGCAGTAGGGTTCACCTTACTTTTCTGTACACATCCCCCCCAAGACGCAGATTTCTTTCCCTTGCCGCGTTGAAGTTGCGCCAAGAAGTGGTCAAAAACGGGAACCTGATACGTCCCACAAACCACCCGTGGCCACGGGAAAACATGGGCCCATGTTCAGGTAGCTAAGTTTGAAGCACACCCTCCCCCAAACAAACAACAACTGGACGCTGGACGTCTGGGACCTTCAAGGAAGTCTGTTTTACCCTCCCCCAGGCTAACGTGGAAGCTCCCAGGACCTTTTTGCAAGACTTGGTTCCATTTGCAGAGGCCTTCTGGGAGCTTCCATGTTAGTCTCAGGGAGTGTAAAGGGACATAACAACAAAAAACCGGGGGAAACTCCCCCACACCTCTGCCGGAGCGAGCATCCATGGTGCTTTCCTGCCGCTGCATGGAAGCCAGAATGGCATGCCAGGCGGTGCCTCGAATGGCTGAGGGAACCAGAAAACCAGCTGGGAGCCAAACGTGGGTGTCGTTACTTCCTTGCATTTGCTTAAGCCCCCTGGAAAAAATAAAAATAACATATCTAGTAGTGATAGATTCCAACAGGAGAAAATACAAAAATATTCTTAAACATTTGGAAGCTTCCGTTTGTTTTTTCATCCCCGGAAGAAGCACACATATTTCCAGTAGTGACAAATTCCTTTTGACACCAAAGGGGATAGCAAACAAATAGTCTCAATCAAATGGACGGACGGTGTTTGAGGGTGCCACTTTTTGGGTGGGTTCAATTAAAATCCTAGTGGCAAAGCAGTCATATTTTGTGATCCAACTTTTGGAAGTTTGGAAACATCCACAAATTCCCGTCCCCTTTAGGTTTTCCCCTTTGGGCAAATTAAGACACTTTATGGGCTATTCTAGCACCCACCACCTGACTTTGGCAGCATGGATCTAGAAGCTACAGGCCTCTACCTTGAAACCAGGTACCCACCTATGGCGCCAAAAGCAATCGGCTTCATCTTATCTGACTAGAGTTGACTGGCCCGTTGCACCCTTAGGCCTTGGCAGTGATAAACCCATCTTCCAAGAAACCATTCAAAGTCTGTCAAATAATTTAAAGTCTGTCAGTGCGTGATTTTCTGGAAAGAGGGATCCATGCAACAAATGGATTTGCAGCTCCAAGTGTTCCGGTGAAATGGGCGAGAGGAGGAACCCAAGAAAAATCTGCAAACTGTCAACTAGTGGACATCAATTAATTGCATCTTTGGATTTGTCCACCCAACATTTGGGATGGGGCTTTTTCGGACACATGCGGACAAATACTTGTTCCCCCAAAAGACAATCTTAGTGAGTCTCCGCGTTGGGAAATTCCGCGAGTACCCCGGGCCCCTCCCCAAAGAAGCATCGACAAATCCGGCAATCTTGACTGCAGGTAAGGCCAACATGGACCCAGGGAGTTGGAACCGAGGTGCACATGGGGAATCAAAAGGGACCTCTAAAGATGGTGGCGTTCCCTTTGGTTTGCTCGCGAAAAACCTAAGGGCACCAACTTACAAACAACATGGAGCTGGGAAGGCGAGTTTGGTCAAGTCGCCCGCGGCTGAAACGACCAAAACGGCCACTTCATGGAAGCTTCAGACTCAGAGCCCAGGCACAAGAAACCGCGGTGGTGTCCGTTTGGCCCGTCAACCAAAAGGGATTCCTTTTGAAAAACCGACAACCTCCCCAAAATGGATGACCCACCGCCGCTTCTCAATGTGCCCGAGTGGGAATCGCGATTCCTGTGACATTGGAAGGCCTTCGAACGGATGAATTCTCCATGTGGCTATGAGTTTTACTCGGACAGCGCACGGAAAGTGGTTGGCGGACATGAATCCCCACCGCAACCTCACTTCAATGAGTGGACCGGCCAAAGAAACTTGCCACTAAAATGGCCCAACCCAAAAAAATGTTAAAACTCCCTGACCTAAAAAGTGAGTAATGGTTCCCCGATATCACAGAGGTAGGAACCAATCCCTTCCATTTGCCGTCCCATGGAAAGAAACAACACAGTGCTAGAGTCTGTTTATAACCAACAAGGAGGAAAAAACAAAGAAAACTAATAAGTCACACTCCCACCAATTAACATGAAACCTGACGCTCGCGGGTCCCATTAAAAGGAACATGGTCTTCCAGAACCCCCTGAACGTCAGTTTCCATGCTAATTGGTGGGAAAGAACATGGACGACTCCCTTCCCACCCCGCCGCCCGACGCCACCGGCGCTCCGAATCCGAGTCGCCTCGTGGCCGCAGCAGGCGGCTCAGCAGTGCCGCCAAGGCCGGCAACGCCTCGGCGTCGTAGGCCAAGTCGCTGCCGATGAGCACCTCGACCAAAAAAACCGATACGATCTGGCCCGAGTCCCTTTCCCACATCCATGTTCTCACTTCCTGATTGGATTGGCCAGAAAAAAACAACATGTTGTTTGCCACCAAAATGGTCCAACCTCCAAAAGTTTGCCACCAAAATGGTCCAACCTCCGAAATAGAAAGTCGGGAACTCAGGAACTGAGTTTCTCAGTTGCCCAAAGGCCCCAGAAACAAAAGGTTAACCTTTCCACTAAAGTTGGACCAGAAAAAAAAAGGTAAAAGGTCGATTCGCTTTGGGCAAGTGAGATGTAGGCAAGAGGGAAAATATTGGACATTCCCCTTCGCCTAGTTTTAAACATCACCTTTTGGTCCCTTCGAAAACAAGTTGCCTTCGGATGGGGTGATGTTAGAGGGAAGTACAGGGAGGCCTGTTGAACAAGGGTTTGAACTGAAAACTGCCTTGTCTCCCGCTCCTTTCAATATTCCACGGTTTCCCTAACCAATCCGACACAAGAGATGTCAACTCCTCCAACGCCCTTTAGGTCCTATCGCTAATGTCAACACCTCCTGGGAGCCTCCGGACTTCCGATGCCCGGCTGTTCCAAGGTAAACGAAGGAGGCCGGAGTAAGAGGCGCATCCAATAAAAACCTCGATCAGCAATCGCACCATTAAACGCGGGGGCTACAGCTTGCGGAGACAACATGCGGAACCCCGGGTTCAATGAAGATTTTGCTTCCCCATCCCTGTTGGTTGACTAGGGTGAGATTTGATGGGGGCGCTGCTATACCCATGTCCCCATCATAGACAGTTAGTGCATCTCTGTGGGAAATCTCCTGAAAGCCCGTCAATGAAGTATTCTGGGCAAATGACCATGTTTCCTTCATGCAAGCCCTGGAGGTCGATCGAGTTCGAGTTCATTTGCTCGGAGTCTTCCAAGAACCGCATCAACAAATGAGGTAAGGTAAGGGCACTGAACTACTCCCAGTCTACTCCTAAAACGACGAAATTGGCGTGCACGCCACACCACGCCACACCCCGCCACCAGATTCTAACTGTTTGGGCGGGTGTGTTGCGAGAACCGCTCCACCTTGGCTTAAAGGATCTTGAAGGGAACCAAAAGTAGTAAGACCGCAGCTGTTGGAGGTCCACATTTCCGTTTGACACACACACACACTATTGGTGTGTCTCGAAACGCGGAACCCTAAATAGTGTATCCCTTTTCGCCTCCCTTGAAAACCAATCATACTCCCTTCAGCCCGTACGATCTCTCAACACATTGATCCTCCAAAGTGGAGTGTATCCGCTTGGTTTCCCTTTAAACAGCTGTAAACAGCAACCAAAATGCGGCCCACCATTCTGACTACCATTCATGTGTCAAAATCAGGCTGCTTGGATGTTCCACTTAGGAAGTTGGGGCACCAACCACTCACCGAAGCCACCTACCCTCTTCCGCGAGACCACCCACTCTGACAGCTGCGAAACCGAGTTGCGTCCACTTGGAGATCCTTTGGCTCGCACCAGTCCAGGTGAGCCACTTCCACCCGCAAGTCCTCGCATTGAGCCATGGGCCTTGTCTTAAGCTGAAGCTGGGGGTTCAAGCTGAAGCGCCGTGATACATGGCATGATTCGGGCAACCCAGAAATACATGACTTGCACCACCTGGGACAAGACACTTTAACTATTTTCTTGCGGCGAGGACCATGGACATAGGAAAACCAGCCCAGCGATACCAGTGATGACCACAGTAACCTACTTTCTAGGCTTGCCCATCCAAGTGCCACAAATCTGTGCCATCTATCTTCCTCCAAACTGCGCTTGGTCCACATCTCAGACTAAACAGCAAACAAATGCTGCTGCTTCAGCAGCTACCCTGCAACATATGTATTTACATATACAAATATTTGTCGGGGTGGACCTGAGTAAATCAGTGCCGTCTCGAAAAGGCGAACTGCCGAAAATGCCCGCCCGCATTCTCCGCTTGTGATGCATGGACAGGCCATATTTAGCTGCACGCAACTCTGCGAAAGGTCCACACCCCGATCGCCTTGGGCTTCAATGTGAATTCAGGCTCTTGCAGCGGATGCTCTCACTTTAAGGGCATTGATATGGGGGAGGGAAGGCTGGCCCGAGCCAAACCTTAAGGGTGCTCACTTCAGTTTCCCATGACAGTTTCCGAAATGGGCGCCTTCCGCCAACTTTCGGTTGGCTTGAACCAAAACCTCTCCTGCCCTGCGTGGTGGGGTTGCCCCCAATGTTCACAGCCCGCTCGGAGCTCTGAGGGGACGGTAAGGCTTCTTGAAGCCAGGCGGCTTGGCCTTTGCAACGCTTGGTCGCTTCCACATTGTACATCAAGTTGTCCAAGACCTGACAGAATCGATGTTTGTACCACAAGCAAATCCAACTGGGAGCTACTTGGTCCTTGGGCAGGCTTTCTCGGCAACCGGAGAGCCTGGACATGTGTCTGGGTCTTTGGCTTGTCTCAACTAAATACGCGAGGACCGAGCGCCCTTCGGACCTTCACTATTTCCGGCGAGCGGCAGCCGCCACTGTTTCACGCGTGCGTCAGCGGCGCGTAAAACAAGCAACACGAAACCAGCTTTGAAATGGCAACGCCTCCACAGGGTTGTAACCTGCTGACGCCTCAACCCAGCCGTAGTTTCGGCGACTTGGCCGAACGTTGAGGGGAATCAAAGCTTCCAACCTCGAAACCTCTCAAACTCAAAGCTCCAAAGCTTTCAAATCAGCGCCCTCGGCGTAAAAAATGTGCCAACACTAAAATAAAATCCAAGCCTCAACCAAAAACACCTGCCAGTACTATAATAACATCCAAACTTCACCAAAAGCACTCCACACAAACCTTCCGACAGAACGACCAAGAATCGACCCGCACCACCTCAAAGCACCTCGTCCCACTTCGGTGTTCAAGCCAGCATGTATGCCATCAGTATGGATTAAGGGACGAACACGAGTTACTCCAGTTATACCCCGGTTCTACTTACCTGACACTCAACTACCTGGGGCTAAAGGGGTACCATTTATTTTTCCGGTAGCCATTAAAAGCAAAAACAAATCTCCTTTTTGCGCGTTTTGACTCTTTTTCCGGTAGCCATAAAACACAAAGTCTCCAAACCAACAGAAACAAAGGGGATTCCATTCACAGGTCTGGGATTCCTTCGGACGCCTGCGGCTGGGCATCGCTCAAGGTGACCTGTGAGCCCTGCAGCGCCAGCGACAGGCCCAGCAGACCACAGCCCGCGCCTCCGAAAACGCGCGGCGACGGGAGGGGCTCGTGGGCTACGTGGGGTGCTTGGAGGTAGCAGGCCCTTGAGGTGGGTAAGGTTTCTCCGTTTCTTGAGTTGGTAGCAGTTAGGGCGGGTTCAAAGGTTGGCTTGGGAGCTGGCGGTTGGTAATGCTTTTGAGGCTCAGAGGTGATTCTTTGAGTTGGTCCCCTGTTTAAGGTGGGTTTAAAGCTGCTTTCTTTGAGGTGGTACCAATTGTAAGGAGGGCTGTTCTCAAATATGAGTCGGTCCCCTAAAACGGTTGGCTTCCTTTTGGCGTCCTGTTGAATTCCAATCACCAATTTGAGAAACACATAGGCGGGTTTAACGGGAAACTAAATGCCATGATTTTCGGGTCCCGCTATTTTGATACACTCCCATTGTGGGGTGATTGTAAAGGGAATTCAAAGGGAAACCACCCGTTGTGACAGATCCCGCCTATTTTGAGACAAACATATTTCCCCTTGAAACATCGCCCAAAGCAAAACTCACTTTGAGTTGCTTTGAGTTGTTGTTTGCTTGGGGGAGGGGGAAGAGGGGGGTTGAGCTCAACCGGGCTCCAGTTGAATCCAAATGCGGCACCCTCACGGCGCCTAGCTCCAGAATATGCCCAGTGAGCAGATGGTCCATGGCGCCAGAGAGGCATAGGCCCAGCAGCATGCACCCGCCTCAAAGACCCGAAAATGAGCGAGATTCCTGGCTGTAAGGACCCCCTCGGCAAAACGTTCTTCACTTTTTTTTCTGAGGAAAGTCGATCGTGTTTAACTTTTATGTTGGTCCAATACGGAAAAACCGACCTGTTTCAACCAAACAATTAAAGTCCAAAGATCCGTGACCAAATAGCAATAAAGAAACCCATCAGCTTGTTTCCTGGCCCACTTCTTTCTTTCTTTTTTTGCGTGCTTGCTTTAGGGTAATTACTGGCTTTCAAGGGAAGCCAGAAGGGAAAACCACAATTGTTTGAAGCTGCTTGCTTGGCACACATCTGGGGTACGCCGAAAATTATGTGCCCAGTGCCCACATCTACGGAGGTCCAAACAAATGTGTTCAGATTCGAATTTCAACCGCAAAATGATGGCATCGTTTTGGAAGAGACGCGGATTTTGCTGATCAGTCGTGGGAACCAGACAGGCGACCCGAAATGGATGGTGTCTCCGTTTCTCTTTGAAACGACCGGCAAAAGCTGGAACACCGCACCATTTCCACAAGAGGCCCCTGGATTGGACAGAATGGTTGGACAGATTAGAGAGACTCCAGCGGACATCAATCAGCTTGGGGATTTATGTCCACCAAGCAGTTGAAATGGTATTGCTCATTGAACAGCATAGCTAGCCAAATCTTACACCAATTGGTAGGTGCGCTCATCCCATGTATAGCTTTTCATCCATCCCACAACGTGTGGATCGCTTTTTGAAAGGGGTCAGACTTGGCCCCGGGAAGTCGGCGCTTTGAACCATCTTTCACACATGCCCCGCCTGGCATGTAAGAACATGGGGCAATCAGCTCGGCCCCACTAAGAACATCCACACAACAAGTATTAGCTCTCAGCTCAAAAGAGGGGTTTGCCCAACACAACAATGATATGCTGTCATGTATTCCAAGGGTGTGGGCCTCCATAAATCCTGGTATCAGCATCGTCTACCCAACAACCCCACAGGCAAACAGAATCAAAGTGCTTTTGGCTGGCTGAAACTACTTCCTGCTGGCGTTCACATGTTCATCTGGGCAAACTTAGACAATTATATTTCACGGAAAGGAGGGATCCCTCTGAAAGAACCTTCGTCCTGAAGTCGTCGTCCCCCCTCCCGTGACATCGAGAAAAGTTGCCCAGATTCATTTTCCCAAAGGTTAAAGAAGTACCGAAAGCGCAGTCACAAATGACGCTTACAACCACCAAAAAGGGGAATATCGGGAACCCTGAGGGCCTGGTTGGCTGGGGGTCGGGGTTGGTTGGCCGCATCCACATCATCGGCCTTGCTGTTGCCTATTGGCCTTGATTTGGTGGCAGTTGTCGGGGCTGTTTTTGGGTGAGTTCGTTGGGCTTGCTGAATTATTGGAGGCAGGTCTTGAGTTTGTTTGGGGTTCAATTAGTCTTGGGCTTCTTTCTGGTTTAACAGTGGCTCGAGGGTTGCTTAAGGGATGTGGTTGCGTGAGATTTTGGCAAGTCTTGGTGTCTTAGGGAACGCCCCATGACAAATCCCAAACCAGCCCAAAACTCATAACCACAGCCGGAAGCAACCCTATCCACTGCAACAACGAGCCGCACACCCGGTGCAAATCACCCAAACCGACCCAAAGTCAACCCCAGACCAACCAACAACAGCCTGAGCATCAGCCCAGGACCTGCCCCCAGTAAGATTTCAGCAAGTCCAAAACTCACCTGAAAGTTGCGCTGAGCAACTCTCAACTGCCACATCAAATCCAATAGGCAGCCCCGGAAGCAGCCAACCAGCCACGACCGACCGGGTGACCGACCAACCAACCAACACCAAACGACAGCCAACGTTCAACTGCCTCCAAGACGCAGGCGATGCGCATCCCCATTCACCAAGTTCCGGGGATGCTCAACCAACAACCACCCACCCACCCAACCAACCACCCACCCAACCAACCACCCAACCACCCAACCAACCAACCAGCCACATGACCGGGGTTAAGCCCCAGCCAGGGCTGGTTAAAAAGGAAAACTCCGGTTCCTTAAACGTCGCCCCAACAAAAACGAAACACACTTGGCCTTTCCTAGAGGTGAGGCCTAAAAGAGCACTCTTCGGGAAAATAACTGCATAGAAGATGGGGTCAAGCACCACAACTAGCACACCTTGAGAATTCTGTATGGAATGGCACAAGGGACAATCTAAACTCGAAACTCTAAACCATTCCAAGCCAAAATATGTTTCGGGTACTTGGAATCTTGAGGTTTCCAAGGCTCTTTCGGGTTCCTTAAAAAAGCCTTCGGCCCCCTCCTCCCGACCGGCCCCCCTCCTTAGGGAATTGTCCAACTCTTTGCAAGGTGAGTTGGGGAGCCTCAGGCCCCCCTCCTCCCATGGACCCTTAGTGAATCGTCCAACTAAGGAACATCATCATGTGGGGAGATCGCAGCTTCCAAGGCGGCGTGCGGTTTTTCCGGCGAGCGCCAAGAGGCCGGTCCAAATCACGCAGCCAGTCTCTAGGCCGCCGCCGATTTGCTCCGCCACACGCAGAACCACCAAGCCCTGGGCCGGGGAGGTTTCTGAAAGGGAAACCAAACCAAATCCATGTCGGTAATATCTGGGCTGCCCTCAGATCCCCTGCGAAAAGTTTAACTTTTACTGGGTTAAATGGAAACTACCACTAAGCACTAGCAGGCTAAAAAGCTAAGGGGATGGCTGGGATATAAGTATGGGGACCCGAAATGGTGGATTCTGGATATCATTTAGGTGGGAATTGGTGTCCAACAGCCACTTGTGAGGCGATTTCCAAGAAAAAACCTCATGGGTCAAATGTTGGCATATATATATATATGGATATATATTTGACATGGATTGTCTGGGATGGGTCAGTGGATTTCCCCTTCAAAAATTGCAGCTTACTAAACTTTTGCAGCCCCAAAAAAACGAAAGAGAACTAGGGGGAGGTAGCGGCTGGGCCAAAACCATCTAAGAATAGAAGCTAAACTCGTTGTTTGCCTCTAGTATATATTGAGGGAAACCAAAGGAAAACCAAAGCGTGGCCAGGACAAGTTGGAAGCGTGTTTTCTGGTTGAGTAGGGAAACCCATCCACCGTGGAGAAGCGGACACCGGATGTCTGACTGCACGCCGGGTCCAGCCCCAACCTGTGTTGGGCGGCCCAAACTAAGTACCACAAAGCCAAGAGGGGACATAACTCTGAAAGTACACCTGGAATTGTGGGTACACAAGTACACCATGAATCAAAGGCAGGTCAAACTTCCAAGACGCCCCTTCACCTCACTAAGGAGCCCCCTGGCTGTTTCAGGTACAGGGCCTTGTCACAGGGCCACAAGCGGCAAGCTTCGGTGAAGACACCTATATAACTATATGGAAGAGGTGCCCTTGCAGTGGCGCTCCAATCATAGCCAATCAATGCAACAGCAACCTGCTGACATTGGAACAGGAGGGCTGCATCTCCTAACTCACTTGCTCTTTAAATGGAGCCGAGGTTGAAAACAAGGCAATCACCTTTTCCACTGGGTTGATAGATGCTTCCAGTCCATCATTCATACAGGTGGATTGCGTCCATCCACCGCAGCTCTGGTGGACAACGACTGAGAAGCCTCTTTGGGGAACCCCCAAACAATCGATGTAGGTAATATAGACCAACATTTGACCCATGAGATCCTCATGGATTGTCTGGGATTGAAGCTCTGGGAACCCAGATTCAGAGAGTAGAGTGCACGACTGGGACTTGGGTCGCCTTGTGGCTGCGCTGCGAAAGCGCTGAAACTGCGAACCTGCCGGAGCCTGTGGGTCCTACGGAAATGTCTAGGGGTTTTAGGCCAACAAAATACACATATCTGTTTCAACTTCGGAAGCAGCCTGCAAATCTGCGGCTTCTTTTCAATGGGAATCGTTTCATTGGAGGATTCCACTATGGATGCCGCCTGCATGCGCATGCATCTTATGAACCAAGGGGTATGTGTCAAAATTGTTAGGCCCATGGTGCTCCTAGGAAGGAAAGGTAGCGACAAAACGAAACCGCACTACCGTCAAACATACCGCACACAGCCGCATGTTCCATTGCTTCAATGCTCCAAAGACTCGGAAAGGAACAAAGGCACAAACCCCGTATGTCTAGACTATCGCTTTCAGGCTTAAAGCAAACCTAACCAACAATCACTACTAGAAAACAAAAGAAAAAACACACACACACATAAAACGCCGAGCTGCGATGTTCACCTACTATCAATTGCGAAAACCACATGAATCAAAGGAGTGCCGCCTCCTCTACACGTGGCTTGTTGTGTTCCACGTTGTTCTGCAGTGCAAAAGAAAAAGTTTAGTTTCCCACCTCCCACTAACATGAAATCAACTCAAGGGTCTTCTTTCGCGGAACATGAACATCGCCCAACACCCATTCACGTATATTTTGACTGAGACGGTCATGAAGTGTATATATATATATATATATACAGCCCTTACTACCAGCATAAAGCCATACACTTATATATATATATATATATGTATATATATATATATATCTTATATATAAATATATCTACATTCATGTATGTAAATATTTATATGTTGACACCAGGTAGTATAACCACCTAGGAAAATGCCCCAGCGTATTTGGGGCGCTGCCTTTCACCCGTTTCCAGTTGCACCCGCCTGCCCGATCTCGAAGATCTTGTGGCCCTGCAGTCCAAGGCCCGTGGATTTCGAGGCCTCAGGTGGGCGAATTGGGACAGGTCTTGGTTTTAGTTTTAGTTCTGGTTTTGGTTGTTGGTTGCTAGTGTTGGATTTTATTCTACCTCTGATTTTGGTTCTGGCTTTGGTTTGGCGTTGGTTTTGGTGTTGGTTGCTGGTTTTGGTTTTGCATTGCATTTGGTTGTTGGTTTTTGGTGTTGGTGTTGATTTGGTTGTTGGTTGTTGGCTGCTGGCTTCGGTTTTGGATTGGTTTGGGTTGTTGGTTGTTGGTTATGGCTTTGATTTGGTCTTGGTTTTGGTTGTTGGTTGCTAGTGTTGGTTCTTATTCTACCTCTGATTTTGGTTCTGGCTTTGGTTTGGCGTTGGTTTTGGTGTTGGTTGCTGGTTTTGGTTTTGCATTGGATTTGGTTGTTGGTTGTTGGTGTTGGTGTTGATTTGGTCGTTGGTTGTTGGCTGCTGGCTTCGGTTTTGGATTGGTTTGGGTTGTTGGTTGTTGGTTATGGCTTTGATTTGGTCTTGGTTGTTGGTTGTTGGTTGTTGGTGTTGGCTTTTATTCTACCTTGATTGTGGTTCTGGCTTCGGTTTGGTTAGTTTTGGTGTTGGTTGCTGGTCTTGGTTTTGCATTGGATTTGGTTGTTGGTTGTTGGTGTTGGTGTTGATTTGGTTGTTGGTTGTTGGCTGCTGGTTTCGGTTTTGGATTGGTTTGGGTTGTTGGTTGCTGGTTATGGCTTTGATTTGGTTTTGGTTTTGGTTGTCGGTTGCTAGTGTTGGTTTTTGTTCTACCTCTGATTCTGGTTCTGGCTTTGGTTTGGCGTTGGTTTTGGTGTTGGTTGCTGGTTTTGGCTTTGCATTGGATTTGGTTGTTGGTTGTTGGTGTTGGTGTTGATTTGGTTGTTGGTTGTTGGCTGCTGGCTTCGGATTTGGATTGGTTTGGGTTGTTGGTTGTTGGTGATGGCTTTGATTTGGTTTTGGTTTTGGTTGTCGGTTGCTAGTGTTGGTTCTTATTCTACCTCTGATTTTGGTTCTGGCTTTGGTTTGGCGTTGGTTTTGGTGTTGGTTGCTGGTTTTGGTTTTGCATTGGATTTGGTTGTTGGTTGTTGGTGTTGGTGTTGATTTGGTTGTTGGTTGTTGGCTGCTGGTTTCGGTGTTGGATTGGTTTGGGTTGTTGGTTGTTGGTTATGGCTTTAATTTGGTCTTGGTTTTGGTTGTTGGTTGCTAGTGTTGGTCTCTATTCTACCTCTGATTTTGGTTCTGGCTTTGGTTTGGCGTTGGTTTTGGTGTTGGTTGCTGGTTTTGGTTTTGCATTGGATTTGGCTGTTGGTTGTTGGTGTTGATTTGGTTGTTGGTTGTTGGCTGCTGGCTTCGGTTTTGGATTGGTTTGGGTTATTGGTTGTTGGTGATGGCTTTGTTTTGGTTTTGGTCTTGGTTTTGGTTGTCGGTTGCTAGTGTTGGTTCTTATTCTACCTCTGATTTTGGTTCTGGCTTTGGTTTGGCGTTGGTTTTGGTGTTGGTTGCTGGTTTTGGTTTTGCATTGGATTTGGTTGTTCGTTGTTGGTGTTGGTGTTGATTTGGTTGTTGGTTGTTGGCTGCTGGTTTCGGTTTTGGATTGGTTTGGGTTGTTGGTTGTTGGTTATGGCTTTGATTCGGTCTTGGTTTTGGTTGTTGGTTGTTGGTGTTGGCTTTCATTGTACCTTTGATTGTGGCTCTGGATTCGGTTGGGTGATAGTTTTGGTGTTGGTTGCTGGTTTTGGTTTTGCATTGGATTTGGTTGTTGGTTGTTGGTGTTGGTGTTGATTTGGTTGTTGGTTCTTTGATTTGGTCTTGGTTTTGGTTGTTGTTTGTTGGTGTTGGCTTTTATTCTACCTTTGATTGTGGTTCTGGCTTCGGTTTGGTGTTAGTTTTGGTGTTGATTGCTGGTTTTGGTTTTGCATTGGACTTGGTTGTTAGTTGTTGGTGTTGGTGTTGGCTTGGTTTTGGTTTGGTTGTTGGTTGTTGGTTGCTGGTTTCGGTTTTGGTTTGCTTTGCGTTGTTAGTTGTTGGTTTTAGCTTTGATTTGGTCTTGGTTTTGGTTGTTGTTTTTTGGTGTTGGTTTTGGTGTTGGCTGTTGGTTGTTGGTTGTTGCTTGCGGTTTGTGCTGGTTTGTTTTGGTTCGGCTGGATTTGGTTGTTGGTGTTGGTTTGGGTTTGGCTGGTTCTCATCTAAGTTTACCCTCCTCCCTGGTCAAAAGGTGAACGATCCCCGAGTTCTAGGTTGCACAGCGATCAAAAGGTCGAGTCTACGAGAAAGATTGTTTGTAGCCTTAATGGAAAAGCCATCTGCAAACCGGCCGAGTCCAACATAAGATGCTTTAGCTTTCATTTGGAAGAGACATAAACCCTTGAGGTTAAACTAAAGATTGGCCATGTCTGGGGGTGAAGTCGGCTCTGGAAAGGGCAAAGCATATGTCCCATCCCCTTGCAAGGCCTTCACAAGCACGCCTTGGTGCGCCCACCATGAGGACAGCTCCGGAGCTTTGGAATCGCTTGGATAAAGGGGACTTCTTTCGGTTTGTGGACCAACCCCTTGAGACACCTTCCCCAGACTCATGTGCAAAGCCGAGCCAGGCTTGCGAGAAAGTCGTCGCACTGTCCTTCCATTCGTCAAGGGATGTATGTATCGGTTCCCAGGCTGCTTAAAACCTCACGGCGTCATCCAAGAACTGCCAAATGAGTTGCCCACACTTTAAACCACACAACTCATGTCATACTAACATCAGACCCATGTGGGAAGCGGGTGAAGACTCCAGGTGGGGTCGGGTTATCCCAACATTTCCGGTTCAACATCCAGAAGACCGGGGAGACGCTCTGGTCGATCCGGCCTCCTCAGTGCAGAGCTTGAAAAGGTCGTCTTCCACCTGCCGAAGCGGTGCAACGATTCCATCTCCGTTTTGGCCCACCTTTGGAGTACACAGAAACGATATGTTGAGATCCTCTTTCAGATTTGCACCCTGAAATCTATGGCGAAGACCCCTGTCGGAAGCCAACGGTCAGGAAATCAACTGCATAAACGGGCCAAGGTAGAATCTTGCGGATGAACCTGGTGGAGATCTTGAATGGGTTCCCATGACGGCGGAGCAATTCGTGAGTTTGATGTGTCATACACAGGTACCAAAAAGGACATCAATCCCCCGGAGTCCGTTCTGGACTAATACCGAGTCCTGCGGGGGAAAACAAAATGAAGAACGAACAAAAAGATACCAATCCTCTCTTGCCCAACTATCTTCCCAGCACCTCCTGGCCCCCCAACTTCAATGTTGTCAAGGAGAGATGTGACGTCTGAAGCCAAAATGGGTGTGTGTGTGTGTGTGTTTTTTTTCTTCTGCAGGCTTCGTGGGCAAGGGGCACACTTTGAAGTTGCGGGGCAAGGAATTTGGCACCTGTTGTCAAAATGGGTTCAAGAAGATGGGTGTTGTTTTTGTTTTTTGTTTTTTTATCGCAGAACCCGGTATCAATACAACCAATAAGGACCCCTAACGACAAAAACACACTTGTTATCGCTTGAGTCAACATAACTACCAACCTTGAACAACGAAATGGTCATGGTTGGTTGATTCGCAGGCGTCACTGAGTTCGCCCCTAAAAACCAGATACGGATTCACATGACCAATCGGAAGTCCCGTTTCGAAAAATCAAAAAACTCGCTTTGGAACCAAAGTACCCGAGTCAATCAAGTGTCATCAAGCACCAAAGGAAACTGCAAGAAACGACTTAGAGATATACCACAAGGACACCAAAACGAAACTAAAGCACCAGTACGAAAGGCTCAGGCACCAGTGTTATTTGTGGGTTGCACTGTACCACTGGAAGGCCTGAAGAGCATACATTCTCGAAGGGAACATGTGCCAGAGCTTGACCGAAAGGGCGAATAACCCCCGCCGAAAGGCCCCCCGCTGAAAGGGGCCACCCCCCTATCTGTGTCAATCAGGGGAAAATATTCATGGCTCCCGCCGAAATCCAACTCTCCAGCCTCTTCCAGGGTCTCCAGCTCTTGCACCACGGCTCTGGCCAAACATCTTCGGGCCTTGGGAAAGCTGAAGCGCGCGACTCGAGAGCTGAGAGAAAGCGGGTGAGATGAAGTGCGTTTTCTGCTTCTAGTTTGATTCACACTTGTCTCTTGGGACAGCCGCCCAAAAACAAGAATATGGTTTTCTCCAAATAGGGAAACCCCGTTATAAAATCAAAAAGAGAGAGGGTGGCTTCCTTGCGGCATAACCTTGAACCGAGCTCAAAAAGGGCGTCCTCGGAAAAACAACCAAGAGGGCTTTGTTCACTACCCCTAAACCACTGCCCCCCGCGGAAAATCAAGTACACAGTGTTTATAAAGTGTCTTTATGATGGTTGTGAACCCGTTTATTGTTCCTTGGGGTGGCTGCGGGTGGTGAAAACCTCCTAGACAAACCCGACAGCTTCTGGCAGGGGCCTTCAGAACAAATGGAAGCCTTTTCTGTGATCGGCAACTTTTTGGTGGGCTTGAAAGGCAAACCAAAAGGTAAACCCCATGTGTGTTTTGTGTTTGTTTGTTTGTTTGTTTGTTTGTTAGTTTGTTTGTTGTTGTTTTTTTGGGCGGGGGGCGGGGGGGGGAGGGGGGGGGTGTGGGGAGTGGGGGGAGATTTCCCCTAAATTACAAGGCAACTCCGCCGACCCCTTCTCCTCAAAGGGGGAGGCGCACGGGAAGGGTGGTTGCAGTACAAGCGCATGGATTAATCGTTGAGGCAAGCATATGACTGCTGGCATCATACGGATGCCCGTCATCATCATCATCATCATCATCATCGATATGATCCTTCATCATTATTATCGTCAACATCATCATCATCATTTCTATATCCTTCAACATCATCATCCTCGTCATCATCCTTATTTTTTGATATACGTTTCAATTGTGGCGTCAGAGAGGGTTTGACATGCAAAAGCTGCGTGGACATGATGATCATGATGACTGCCCCCCCCGGCCCCTGAAGATTGTGGCTTAACGCTCCGCTCTGGCCCATTGTGGCTGCCACACAGGGGACTCATTTAGGCTTGGGCGCAGGGGGCGCTATCTCAAAAAATGAGCCCCTTACTTTTCGGCACAAGGAGTGCTAGGGATACTGGGCCCGTGGGGGTCTCGGGCCGCCCTGGTGATGCCGAGGATGCTACGTTAGACACCATTGGCAATGCAGAGGATGCTACAACGATAGTTATGATCACAGTCCTCATCCTTATCATCACTAGCATCAGGTCATCATCATCTCTTTTTAGCCGGCGCTGGTGATGCCGAGGATGCTACGATGATAGTTATCATCACAGTCCTCATCCTTGTCATCATTATCATCATGGTCATCATCATCTCGTATTCGCTGGCACTGGTGATGCCGAGGATCATCGTCTCTTAGTAGCCGGCACTGGTGATGCCGAGGATGCTACGATGATAGTTATCATCACAGTCCTCAGTATCATCACGGTCATCATCATCTCTTACTAGGCAGCACTGGTGATGCAAAGGGTGTTACGATGACAATCATCATCATGATCATCCTTGTTATGATGTCATCGCTCTTCTCATCATCATCATGATGATCATCATCATCTCATTCTTGTTCTTATTCTTATATGCATTTCAAAAGTAACGTTAGACCCCATTGGCAATGCAGAGGATGCTACGACGATACTTATCATCACAGTCCTCATCCTTATCATCACTATCATCAGGGTTATTATCATCTCTTATTAGCCGGCACTGGTGATGCCGAGGATGTCATCATCATCTCTTATTAGGCAGCACTGGTGATGCAAAGGGTGTTACGATGATAGTTATCATCATAATCATCATCATGATCATCCTTATTATGATGTCATCGCTCTTCTCATCATCATCATGATGATCATCATCATAGGCAGCACTGGTCATGCAAAGGATGTTACGATGATAGTTATCATCATAATCATCATCATGATCATCCTTATTATGGTGTCATCGCTCTTCTCATCATCATCATTATGATCATCATCATCTCATTCTTGTTCTTATTCTTGTATGCATTTCAAAAGTAACGTTAGGCCCCATTGGCAATGCAGAGGATGCTACGACGATATTTATCATCACAGTCCGATAGTTATCATCATAATCATCATCAAGATCATCCTTATTATGATGTCATCGCTCTTCTCATCATCGTCATGATGATCATCATCATCTCATTCTTGCTCTTATTCTTATTTGCATTTCAAAAGTAACGTTAGACCCCATTGGCAATGCAGAGGATGCTACGACGATACTTATCATCACAGTCCTCATCCTTATCATCTGTCAAGAGACGGCAAGGTGACGTCCCGTGGGACGCTGTGCACCGAACCCTCAAGCTTTAATACCAACCACGTAGAAAGGTGTATACGGACGATGCCGTTATAGCCGAACCCGTGTAAACGTTGTAAGGGAGAAGGAATGATAATTACACCAGTGGTCCTGACAAAGCGGCGCAAGCAGTTGTTTTGCTCTTAATGCCGATCACGTAGGTCTGCAGTCACACATCAGATCTTGAACCTCAATTGTGTCTTGAGCCTTGAGCCTTGAGCCAAATGGCGATCAATGGAACTTGGGAAGCAACACCAACAAGGACCTCAGAACAGCTACCCAATTTCGGCACGGGGCCTAGAGGGTTTTAACATCCCCCATTTGGGTCGCATTGTTCATCATGCGGTCCAAACACCACAAAACGTTCCACTGGCCACGACTTCAACTACGAAATCGTGTCGTGCATTCTTTTACTTGCTATCACTACACCGTTCATTCGCTGTGAAACATGCCGGGTTCGATTGTTCGAAAAGTGAAACATTCATCCTCCAATCGAAGCACACATCCATATGCAGGTGTATATAATACACTGTGGCCACTTCACTTGACCGCCAGTGAACATTCCAGCTGCCGCATTTGCGCATCGCGCAGCTGTCATCCATAAATGGGTTGGCCACAAAAGTCCACCAGACACGCCCGCTTGTGATCGGTCTGCATATCTCCGGCAAAGAAACATCGGTGAGTAATCAATGCAAATCATAGCCATTCCAGATACCATGGACGATGCATAAATAATGAAAAGATATCATCTATAAGGTAATAGTTCCATCCATGAATATCCAGAACGTCATAGTCGTCGGAATATGTAACCATGTACACACCCAATCATCTTGGACACATGAATATAAATCATGACATAAGTCGTTCCACCGACACAGTGTCGATGTGACGCAAGTAACAGATGGGGACTGGCCCACATCGTACCGCAATCATCATCTTCACGAAGCATACCTGTCCCCAATGGACAGCCTATGGGTACGTCGGCGGAACTCCTCGTCCAAGTTCTTCTGGGCTTCTCGTGCCCGGACACACTCCTTGTTGTAGTCCTCTGGCAACCAGTGCCCTTTCCGAAGGCACCAATCCAGCAGGGGTGTGTCGCATTTGTTCGGGTCGATGGCCGAGATGATGGCGCTCACGTCGACCGTATAACCATTCTTGCCAAGGTTTAGGCCATCCTCATTTAATGATACTCTCTATGCTGGTTACAGTGTCATCCGAAAACAGCCACCGCCCCACTGGTGCACTGGTCCTGACTGCGAGCCATTTCTTCCTTGTACATCGATGGATTCTGTTGCAACCACGTTTAGAGAATGGGGACAGTCCTCAGATTTGTCTACCATCACACGGCCATATTCATACGCCTTTAATTTGATTCGGAAGGTTTTGAACCGAATATCTTCCGACATTGGAGAAATCTATTGTTGATGGCAAAGCGATACCTTCCTGATCATGCCTGGTGATGCACTCTGGAACACAGATAAAGGGCAAGCCCGATTCCTTTCGAAACTGCATTCATCGTTCTCTCCTCACCACCTTCAAACATCCCCCACATCTTGGACAGCTGGAGTGCGATAAATCCTGCCATGTACTGAGCCTCACGCGGCTCGTCAAGGCAGATCGCCATCCGTTGGGAACTTATAATGTCCCGTGACGCCAGATCGGTGTCGCTGTAATGCCAACCGCTGTCTTCTTCTTCTGACGCATAGCCGGATGTATATCCTTGCGTGTCCATGTCGTCATCTTCTCCCGGAACTTCCTCCGCTTCGTCTTCATCCTCCTGTGCTGCCGCATCGTGGTTAGCTTCTTCCTGTGCACGCCTGGTATCTCCAGAGACGTTGGGGTTTTGGTTGTCCTCCTCGTCATCGGATTTGATGTGAATGTAGTATCTTCCGATGGAGATCAGTTGTGCCTCGCACTCCAGGCATAAGCAGAAGCAGGTGGGGACCGCGGTCGCACATGATGGACATATCCGGCACCTCAGTCCTTCCCATGTCTCATCATTCAGGATGACGACTTTGCTGATCTCGTCCCGGACCTCGTTGACCTGTGCATTGAACTCTTCCATCTTGTTGTTTCGATAGAGTTCGCAGGCACGATTAACCATGTCAACGATGTAGTGCAGATTATCGGCACCTGTCTCAGTCTCCGGCATCCTCTCGCTGATCTTTGCGACGTTCTTGAGGAACATCGCAGCCGACTCTTGGGAAGAGTTGACAAAGCCAGGGCAGATCTCGTTCTCCACACACTTCGAGTACGCCCTCTTGATGTCAGCGTACTCCAGGCGTTTCCCTCCGTTGCTTTTGCCAATCCAAATGGACTTGACCTCATAGAACGGGATCACGTCAAAGACCATGAAAGTCCCATTAGCCGCGACTCCAGCCCCATACCGCGCGAGGGTTGTACTGGGAATATAGATGATCGCAATCGGATCCCCTCTCCTCACGTTCCGTAGCGTTGTCTTCGTCGCCACGTTCATCTCATCCCATGGAGCAAATGCCCCGAAGTGCAGCGCCAGCCTGTTGCCGCCATCGATTCCGCCGGGGACTAGCCCACAGCGTACGATGCTTGGCAGGTTTTCCACATACGTCACATGGAATGCTCCTCCGAGAGTATCACCCATTCTTGCGGAATACCTATTCGCCAGTGCGGATGAGCTCATTAATCCAAAATCACTGTGACCGGTTGTG